TATTACACTATTACATTATTACACCATTACTCTGTTACTATATCACTATATTCCTATTCCTATTCTTATTCTTATTTCTAGTAGTATTACATACTAGTACTAGTATTAGTATTAGTCTTAGTATTAGTACTAGTATTATTATTATTATCACTATTACTATCACTATGAGTATAGCTATTATTATTACTATTAGTATTACTATTATTATTATTACTATTACTATTACTAATACTATTACTATTGCTATTATTTTTGCTCTTGCTATTGCTATTGCCATTGCCATTGCTATTGCTATTGCTATTACTTTTACTATTACTGCTACTGCTACTACTATTACTATTACCATTACTACTACTACCATTACTGCTACTATTATTATTATTATTAATATTATTACTACTACTACTACTTCTACTACTACTACTAGTACTACTACTACTATTAATATTACTCCTACTACTACTACTACCACTACTATTACTAGTATTACTGTTATTTTTATTACTATGATTATTATTATTACTACTACTGCTATTACTATTAGTACTACTACTACTACTACTACTACTACTACTATTACTACTACTACTACTGCTTTTATTATTACTACTACTACTATTACAACAATTACTACTACCACGAGAACGACGACTACTACCACTACTACTACGACTACGACGACTAATGCCACCACTAGCACCACGACTAGTGGTTCTCTTCCATCTATCACCTAAACCTTCCGCCGGCCGGCTGAATATAGTGCGGCGCTGCCAAGCATTCACAAAGCCCGCATTAAGCAATATACTACCCAAGGCCAAGAGATACGCCGGACCTTGGACAAAATTGCTCGTAACCTAAACAAAGGATCGGCGCGGGCAGATTTGCTGGGTCCGGTTTGTTCCGCCTGCTGCCAAGGATTGAGATTTCCTGCTGCTGGTTTGACGGTGTCCGGGTAATTCCGCTTGGCGGACAGGTAGTTCCGCCTGGTGGCGATTTTGCTGCTTTCAAATGGTTTGGCCCGGCACCCGGCACCTTCTCAGACTTGTTTAAGGGCGCTTAGAAGGCCTATTGCCAATAGCCGTGCGCTTAATTACCATTACTTGGACGACTGCAAAACAATTGTTTTCTGCCCTTCTCCTGCGACTACGCAACGAAGACTACCACCACCACTACCACTACCACCACTACTACTACTACTACTACTACTACTACTATTACTACTATTACTACTATTACTACTACTACTACTACTACTACTACTACTACTACTACTACTACTATTACTAATACTACTAGTAGTATTGCTACTACTACTACTACTACTACTACGACGACTACTACTACGACTACTAGGACGACTAGTACTATTACTACTTCCACTACTACTACTACTACTACTACTACTACTACTACTACTACTACTACTACTACTACTACGCCAGTGCGTCAAGCACTGGCGGAACGACTTCCACAGCAATGCCCAAATGTGGTACACAAAGCAAGGATAAGCAACAATACGCAGTGATATGCAGAGCTTGGGTGGATCATACCAGTCAACGCCCGCCGTTTCTGTTTTCGCCCGCCACTATGGGCAGGCGCTTGTTCCATAGAACGCAGACTATACAACCACCCCGGAGGATTCAGGCACTATTAATTTTAGTACGTTGTACGAGTAGGAAAGCGAATATACTGGGGCTATCTAGGGCTCGTCTACTTCCGGTTCAATTCTGCTGGTAGTACCAGTTTCAATTCAGTTCCAGTAGCGGCTCGCATCACTGCCAGTTCCAGTACTCGTACACGTACTCGCACCCATAGTCTTACGCTTACACCCATTCTCATTCTCACATTCATACTGCTGTAACGAGTGCGAGTGCGAGTAGTATTCTTCATATAATTAATGCCGGTCGCAGTGGTGCGTGCTATTAATGCCCGTGTCGTTACAACTACAAGAATTTGAGGGATGGTTCGGCGTGTTCTCCCCGACGGCTGAACCTTTGCACCGCGAGTTTTTGGCAACACGAACTGCCGCCGGCTGCCGCACAGCGTTTCATGGAGATGTGAGGGGAAGGGTCCAGGGGTGGGGGGGGGCCGCAGATACTTCAGCAAGTGATTTGCAAGTGCTTAGCAAGTGCTCGGAACTTGGCAAGTGCTTCGCGGGCATTTGGTGCCCAAAACCGGTGTGCGTCCACGAAACCACTGGGCAGCTTCCGGACAACAGGCGGCACCATTGCGAGCGCAACAGCTCGGGATAGCTGTTTTTTAACCTTGCGTGTACGGCGCACAATGGCCCAAGCTGACGGCGGTGAACGTGCCGGCGCTTGTCGCCTTGGCGTGGGCACTTGCCCTCTGCAACTTGCATGATACACACCTCCGCCCTGGCGCGCAAGCCTTAGCATTTCCGGACGAGGCATTCATGTCGGCTTCACCGCGCGCCTCCAGCTTTACCACGGTTTCCAGGGGGATGCACTGCTTTGCCGCAACCTTGGTAAGACCTGCTTTTGAAACGGCGCCTAGGTCCATTCTGATGGTGTTGACTCGCTCGCTCCTCGATAGCGACGTCTACGTCGACGTTACTACCCAGACACTGCTGCTTGAACTCGACGAAGCTACCGGATATGTTGATGAATTTCAGGGAGAGAAGGGCTGGGAGGCGCGGCCAGAATGGCATCAAGTAGGCGCGGACGCCTGCTGATAAGGGCGAGTGGACAGAGTGGGACAGAGTGTTGAAACCCGCGCAACACCGGGGCTACCGAAGTCTAAGTGCCTTATAGTGCGGGTTCAGGGTGTCGGGGATCCGCCTGCAAACTATATCTGCCTTCACTGCTTCCATCGGCTTTGCTCGCCTTCTTTGGTGCCAGCCTCGTCGGCTTTTCCTTCGCCGGCACCGCAAATGTACCTCGCTAAAGCAACGTGAGTCCGGTTGCGGTGGGCTAGGCCCTCGACCCAGTACATTGGCCGACCTCGAGAGGAGAAAGGCTTTTGATGCCACGCGTGATTGTCCAACAGCAAGGCAGGGCATGGTCCTGCCAAAACCACGCGAAACTAGAAATGTGACATACCGTGAAATGAGCTGACCATCTCCTTTGACGCCAGATCGTTTTGGTGAGGCAATGGGCTCCAGCTAGGTGTGGCCCTTATCTCTTCCGAGATGGCCGTGTTGGTTGGTCTGGTGATTGATCACATGCTGGCAAGCAAGCACTTGACCGCATGCTGACAGGGCAAGTGCGGGGTCCAAAGTCATGGCTGCGTGTTTACGGCGATAACGAAACTGCCTGCCCCTGCACCGGTCGAGCCAGGCCGCTTGAGCACGAGGCGCTATGTTGCGACGTCACCCTGCTCGGCGCTGACAGACGAAGACCGCCCACAGCCCTTTGCGACCACTAGAGGGCGACGGCCGCGGAGGCTGTGCATTTTCGCGTGCGATACCGGCGGGCGCTGGAACGACGAGTTGCTCCAACTCGTAGCTCAGCTCATCCGCTTGCTTGCTTTGCGAGCCCTCGCTCCGCTTCGAGGGGCCTTCACCCAGGGTTACCGACGGTGGTGGGACATTTGAGCGTGGCTGTGCAAAACACGTTCGCTGCCACTTTGCTCGGGTCTCCGCCCATCGCCGCCCTCATGACTGGTGCACAGGCACAGCCTGTGCAGGACGTCCTGCATGATGCGTGCCCGCCTGTGCAAACAGCTGCTTGCCGGCTCGCTGAGCCGCTGCAACCCCGAGCAGCCGTGGTTGGCAGCTGCATTTGAGTGGTGCACTTGGACCGCTTGTGGATCGCTCAAAATGTCCGACATGGATGGGCAATGCAAGTACCCGCTCCTGCCCACAAGCTCAAGTGCTTGTCGGTGCTGCATATGCTACGCGCACCGATCCGTCAAGGATTTGACGTAGTTGTCGTCGGTACTCGCACGTTGATTCGACTGCGCATGCGTTCCCGGATGTTTTTTGTGCAAAATCATGTTTCATTCTGTGTATTTACGCAATGGCTGACCGTCGAACGGTTGTTTCAAGACTCTTGCTTGGCAGGGAGTTTGGGTATTTTTCGTGATGGATATATTTATAATATACATATACATATACATGTACATATACATATACATATACATACCCATATCCATATCCATGTACATGTACATGTACATATACATTTACATATATGTATTACCGGGTTTTGTATTTCCGATGTATCTTTCCGGCCGGCGCAGCTTCCCGTCAACGCCTTGAGCATGGCGAGAACCCCGGCTTACTCAAGTAAGCTTCGTTCCATAAACGGATGACGCGGATGAGATTAACTCACGCCCACACATACATCATATAGGCCGAGAAGCGCTGGCAGGTTGTACGAGGCCATTTTGGAGGCGGAGTCCCATACAGAGCAGGAAACTGCAAATTTGATGTGGCTTGGCTGCATTGGGTCGTGGCACAGCGATAGTTATATGTATGTAAAATTTCATGAATTCAGCGCGGGTTGTGGTCGTGCATGCCAGCTTTTGCCAGGATCCAGCTCCTCGGTGCAGTTGCTCATATGCACGAGAAGTGCGCGCCCAGGGTCGTGCGGTTGCTCCGGCGTCAAAGCTTGTGTTGGGGGCAGCTATGTCGTGATTTGTGTGGTACAGCTTCGCTCATAAGCAACAAGATGGCTTGGTTGGACAAGGTATGCTCATGCTAGCAAAGACATCGGATCGATGTCCGTGTCGGGCCATGGGCTAGGTTGAAATCGTGGAGACGTATTGTATGCATGACATGGGTTGAATTCGCATGAATTCGCCGCACGTTGCAGAAGCTGTCCCGGCTCCTAGCAATTTGCGCTCGTCCGGCTTGCCTTGTGGAGTTGGTGCCTTGGATTTTGATTTGAGCCATGTCGACAACGGGGTTTCGGGGAACATTGATGTGCAGTAGCGCGTACTTATGTTATGACACATATGATGTTATGATTGAAAACCTCGGCACATGCCGGTTTGAGCATCCGCAACAGGAATGTGATTATCCGAGACAGGTCGACCTTATGGCCAACCAGCAGCTGCGCAAGGCAGGCACTGCGGGTGCCGTAACACAGCTTTGCATCATCATTTACCCGCGGCGGATAATTACGAGAGTTTCAGACATATTCACGCACACTCCATGTTCCAAAGGCTTCATTAAATGCTGCAAACTTGCTCAGTGCCTTGTTTCCTTTTTTTTTGCAACGCCCCGCCCCAACAGCCAAAGCTTTAACCCAAGTACCGTGCAGCTCCGCCTGTTGCCGGCCGTGTTCGCCTTGGGTGCGCTTGTGGCTCCGTTGGCTTTCGTGGCTGCCCCTGCCAAAAGTTCCTTGGACAAACAAGTCTTCGGCCGTCTTTCGATGAAGCTATTGACAGCTACATTGGTGTAAGTTCGTCCAGTCACCACGGGCACAAGCTGAGTTGGCGAGCGTGCCAAGCAATGCCAGGGCAAAGTGTTTGCTGGCCACCTTGGGTCAGACCCGGTAAGCGCACAAGCCCGGATGAAGACAACTGAGCATGTTGCAAACCTCAAACTTTGTGGATGCCCGAGCGACCTTCTTTAGAATTCAGGCACTTGGCAAAAAGAAAGCGGAAACCGCGAGAGAGACGGCTAGAGGCTCCGAGACGCCTTTGGCTCCGATTGCCGCTGGTCTGGCTGTGGTCGCCAATCCCATCCAGGTCATGTTTCGGGTTCCCAGAGACTCCAGCGTTTCTGAGGCTTTCAGCGTGCCCTTAACGAGAGTCTTCATTATGATTCAATGATTACACCGCCAATGTTGAATTGTGCGAGTTTCCGACCTTGCGATCAAAGCTTGCAGTCGGAGGCTTGGTAAAGGAGCGAGCGATAAGCGAATGCTGTGCCGGGCAAGTTTTTCTGCCCGGCTGTTCAAGCAGATGGAGCACGGTTTATGTAAGAGAACTTGGCGAGTGTACACTGATTTCTGGGCTCCTTGTGAATACGGTTGAGTACATGGTTTGATGTTCTATTTTGGAGGGTGCTTGTATTGAAAGAAAAGTTCGTTCAAGTGTTTTCTGGATCCGGCTTGCAAGTTTAATTCTGACAGATGCGGCGATGTGCAGAAGCCAAGTACCCCATCAGCTTTGTGACTTTAACCCTTAAAATTTTAGAAACCTGACTATAAGCCCTAGGCCCTCCAGTTGCTTCAGCAGGCCGCTTGGGCAGAGCTGCCTCCGCTTGAGGACATTCCCTTGGAAGACATCGCAAGGACCTCAGACAAGCCCCAGGCCCGATAGCCTTAAGAAACGATGGACTCTGAGAAGCAGGGGCCCTTAGCCCCCTTAACCCTGATGCTGCTTATATGGTTTTTGAACTGTAAGCTTTGTCTAGGGCCAGGGTGCACTGTGGCAGGGCTCCACTTGCTTCCTTAATGGCTTCCCGGGTTACGTAGCATGAGCTATTCAGTTCACTGCTGTGTACATGAAATATGACAGCAACCGAAGACCCAGGGCCAAACCTGAGTCCAACTTTTGTGTGTCCGAAGACGTTAAAACACGAGTTGCGTGGCAGAAATGTGTGAACGATTTTGTGCAACGGCCAGCACGCCCAGACATTGACAAGCATGAGGGTGAATGCTGCGCATGCATACAGTATGGGCCTGGGCGATGTTTCAACCGTAATTAAGCATGATCTGTGGCTCCCATAGAAACCCTGCAGACGGAAGCGGCTGCATGCAGTCAAAGAGGCAAGAGTGCACGTACATGGCTTCACGCCATAGCAGCCCAGACTCCAACTGTTGAGCCAAAGAATCAATATTTAGAGGTTTGAGAAGCTGGACCGTCGGGAAGTGAACAGCCCAGGGTTCTTTCCTGGTCCAGTTGGTGGTGTAGCAGGCTCTCCAAAGTTTCTATCTGTCATCGGGCGTTGCTACCAGTACATAACAACTCTGTGCGAAACAAGCCTATGTAGCGAGTCAAGAGCTTCAGACCCCAAGGTCCAACACCACTCCTTAGACCCGAACTCCCAAATCCAGCGGAGCAGTGGCCGATCTTTGGCAAACCAAGGGCCAAACACGCCAGGGCAAGTTGGATGCAGAGGCGCTGTGGACGCAAAGTGAGCTTGGGTATGATGTTATAATATGTATATATTTATATGTATGTATTTATGTATATGTGTATGTATGTATGTATGTATGTATGTATGTATTTTTCAAGTTATTTATTCGAAAGGTGTGTGTGTATATATTCATGTATATTTTCATTATGCTTTATTGTTATTACAGAAGACTGATTGACGGAATATTCATTAGAGTCTTTGCCCTGCTCCTCAGGGCAGGTATGTAAGGATGCCTGATGATTCGGGTTTGTGTTTGGGATTCAAGCAACGCCTACATGCCAAATCCAAAGCCTTTACGCGCCAGACCCTATAAGGCCCCAAAAAAACAAAGCTCCTCACATATTGGTCCTGGGAAGTAAGAACACCCGGAGATACTTGTTGCGGGGAGATGCGACCTCAAAGCACTGGGGCCGACACCACATTTCGAAACCAATGGGCTGATGACCATGTACGAACAAGTGGTCGAACAAACTAGACTGGAAGCCACTGAGCACTACATCCGCAACCCGTCAAACCTGGACCATTGAACCCCAAAGCCCTTCGACCCCAGACAGCTCGCCACTGCTAAGCCCCAGCCCAGATCACCCTCAAACCCCCATCTTTCCAGTCTCAGACTCTCTAGGTCCAAAGTTCGTTTGCCTGTAGTTTTCGGACATCCCCCATCCATGAAACACCGAGCGTCTACAAGCACTAGGGGCGTATACCTCCAAACTGTGCAGTCCGTCATTAGCAAACTCGAATCATCTGCCACTAAACCCATTTAGATCAAAACCACACCCTTTCAGTCCGCCCCTTCTGGAACCTTCTATAGACTTTTTTTTCCAACCACACCCTTTCACCCCGACATATAAGACCTTAATACCTTGTCGAACCATCATAGAAGCACTATTAAGCCACGATTTCAGTCCGACACCTTCATGGGCATCAGCTTTCCGATCTGGCTTTTCGTGATTGGTGGCGCCGTCCTCTGGGCCGTGACATGGGCGCTCTGGCTAACAGCTTTGTGAAAGAACTTGCAGGCACGTGTTATTTGTGAGAGCGGTAGGAGCCATAGGAACAGTAATGTTGACCTAGGGTTAATAATCCCCCTACGATTAAAGGCGGCCTGCGGGCGGCTCCGGCCCCAATCTGTACTACTTTAAAGGCAGCACCCAAATAAGGATCGTTTTTTGCAGAAAACCCCCCCACGATTAAAGGCAACACCGTCTGGGGATCTAAAATTTCAAAGACTACTTTTAAAGGGGGCAAGACTTGGTCTAGGCCTAAACCCTTCCCCGATATTAAACTTGAAACCTCATTGGCCCCAAAACCGCTTCACGTTTTAATCCTCCAAAGTGGTGATTTCAACACTACTTGCTGTGTCGTTCCAAGCCCCCCAAACAAGCTTTTTGAGCTCTCCCCAGCAATCGTGTGTCACCCACGATTATCAACGTCCCACGATTAATCAAACTCCTGTGGCACTCCTACTGCTACTGCTACAGCCACTGCTACTGCTGCTACTACTGCTGCTACTACGACTACTACTACTAGCACCACTGTTTACTGCAATTTGGCTTCACGGGATTATTTGGGGGTCTGTGATCCTGTGGGGGGCCTGCGACCTTGACAACCTTGAGGGGGGGGGGGGCGGGGGGGGGGTTATTAATCAGGGGTCAACATTAATCCAAGAATGCTTAGGATAAGGGTGTCAACAGTGTTATGAACAGTGTTATGTGATTTCGTTTTTCGTTCGGACCGGGTTTTACAGGCTTCCAGAGAGGTTCATAAGTGCCTCATACGGGTGATGTCGGGTTACGCAAGGGAAAGGGGGTTGCTATACTGTTTGGAAAGTCATGGTTTAGTTTTCGATGGCCTCCACTGTATAGGCCTGCAGTGGAGAGCGGTGCAAGCATTCAAAGAGTGCGTTGGCCCGAAGCTTCACTCACGTTTGAGGTTTGAGGCTTGGCAGGACACGGCTTGTTGTGATTACATATGTATTGCCGACAGATAATGAAAGCCTTCGGACTTGTGTCAAAGCCGCGCGGACAAGAAGCTGGAACCGAGGGCCTTTCTCTAGAAGACAGGTTCAACTTTCCGAAACTACATGTTCTCTGATTCCGAGGCCTTGTAAGCCCAACATCCCTAGCATCTCCCGGTCTATACTCTAAAGCCGTGAACCTATATATACATATATATATATATATGTTTATTCTCATTATTATTACTATTGCTATTGTTATTAGTTTTGTTATTATTAGACAGTTCCAATTCAATTCCCAGAGCTGTGAGGTCCTCAGCATCAAGCCTGCCAAGGACGATGCCCGGGTAGCAGATCTATTGGGAAAAATCTTTAACCTCGTACGTCATCGAATCGTCGGTTAGCCTACGTCCCTGTTCATGAAACTGGTTTAAAGCTTCTCAGTCCAACTGCGTTCTCGAGGTTTGATCCAACTTGTGGGGCCGTGTTTGAAGCCCAGAAGTCCTGAAACAGCAAATGGTTTCTGGACATTTGGAGAGTCTAGACATCGCGCTGCTGAACAGCACCGACCGAAACCATTCGACCAGAGTTCAAGACTATCGACTAGGGTGTTGCATGATGGCCTGGCCTGCTTGTCTTGGCCCAACCACCTGAACCATCGTGGACCTAAACTCAGAATATACTGGTCGCATTTTCCCTAAAGCGTAAACCCTGCCCAGAGGCGCCCCCAAGCTTGAGAGCTTGCCGAGGCGTTTTAGAGGCACGCAAGAAGCCCCTTGGAGACCCCTAGAGCTGAACTGGCCCACAAGACCAAATGCACAAGAAAAGGCAACCTTCAACTTGTCGCAAAGCCGTAAGCACTAATCCCCGAAATCCCAAGGCGCCTAAACTACCAACCACCGAGAACTTCGTTCGGCATGTCCGATTGTGCCGAAACCCCAAAACCTCGCTTGCAGGATGCCGAGGGCACTTACAGGACCTACATTGGCGGCGGAGCGTTGCCCCCTGAGGCAGCGGTGGTGTAGCGGTTTAACAAAATGCAGCATGCACATAGGACTTTAGAGGCTGGTGGGTTGAGGATAAGGTTTGATTTAGGGCGCTAAAGAGTTCCCAGTGCAGGGTTTAGCAAAATGTCGGGAACAGGCATAAGACTTCAGGGGTGCATCACGGTTACAGGGGTTGGGTTTGTAGGCTCCGCATGGTTGAGAGATCGTGTCTACAAGGTGTCGGTTATCTGACAAGTATCTGGCACGATTCGCGCCCACGGTGTCTTCAGCGGTACGCAACAATTTGGGTGTTTGGAGTTGTCGGGTTCTTGGTCTATGGTTCCCTTGTCTACTTTCACTGCTAAGAAAGGGACCCTGGAAATCAATCTCATTTCAGTTCGGCTCTGGTTCGATTGAGGGGTTGAGCAGTATAGAGTCTAGTATAGAGGTGGAGGTGCGGTTGGAGATGGGAGAGCATGAGGTCTGTGGAGTCTCATGTTGAAGTCTTTTCGGTATTGTCGGGGAACTGGGGCCCACTTTAGATTTATGCCTAGCGCTTCCGGGGTTCCTTAGCGGTTCGGGCAAGCCTCAGATGTGCACAGGCAAGCCCGACATGACATGGGAAGCTTGTGTTCTACTGCTGCAAGTGTCCTACCGAATCCTTTGCTGTCAAAGCTCTGGGAGCGGTTCCATAGAATTCAGGACCTCGTCACCCTGGCTCCTTTGATGCCGTTGGTGCTCAGTCGCGGGCCCTAAACCTTACACCGCCCTATCGAAAAGCCTACATGACATGTCAATGGCCTACAACACCCGAAAATGACAAGCGGAGATTGTAAACTCCGGCAGGGCTTCACCAACCCGGCGGATCCCCGAGTGCAGGAGGAGTTGGCGGACCCCGGAAGGGTGACCGAATTTGAGAACCCAGCCCTAGAGTGTTAGTGCTCCGGTGGATTGGGGTATTTGAGGTGAGGTTAGGGCTTTGGAGGTTGAGGGTTTAGGGTTCCACGAGGGTTCTGCGAAAAGTAAAGTCAGCATTCTGCAAGTTTAGGTGGTTTAGACGAAGAGTCCTGGTGTGGGAATGCTTTTCCCTGTTTCAGCCGATTAGGTCCGATTAAGTTTTAAGTTAAAAGTTTAAGTTAGGGCGTTTAGAGTTGAATCCTCGGTCGTCGAGTAGGTATTCTAATTCTTTTGCTTAGAACTCCATCAAATCCCTTTGCTGTCCCAAGGTGTACCTGCTTTTGGTTTGCTTGTTCTCTCCTAGACTAGACATCAGCCTAGAAATTTCTCAAGACGCTCCCTAAATTGATAGGGGGAGGGATAGGATGACTACAGATTTTTCAAGCCCGTTGTTTGCGGTTCCCATTTCCGGGGTATGAAGGAAATCTGGATTGGAACGTAACGAAATCCCGACATGTTCTAGGTAACCCTGATCGACACCTAAATAGGAACCCATCGAAACCCTTCTAGAAAACTGTGCAGTAACCCAAAGTCCCTATTATGTTAGCAGTGTCGGATGTTGATTCCAGTTGTGTCGCCTGGCTGTTCTGGTAGGCTGAAGGGCTGGGGGCCTTGGGACTTTCGAGCCTTGTGTCGTTTAGGGTCTTGGGATTTGAGTGGCTGGGCTTAGTTTCCAAGCGGGATCCGGTATAGGCCTATAGCAAGGTTCGTGGATGAGGTCCTTGGCCTGGTATACCTTCTTTTGACCGCCATACTTCGAAGTTTTGTGACAAGGAAGGTCAAGCATCACCAGCGCAAGCTCTGTATCAGTCTCGATGTAGCACATAATGCCCACATGGAGCATAGGACTTCGGGATGTTGGGTTCAAGGTTTAGGGTGGAGCTTGACGGGTTTTTAATTAGAAGGTTTTTTTGTTTGGTGGCATACTTGGACGTCGGGTATATCATGTAGGCAAAGGCACTTTGGCGACTAAGAAGCTTACTACAGTTAGAATTCGATTGTATGACGAATCTCCAAGTAGGGCTTCTTCAACCAACGACTGTCCAATCTCATGTGTTTTCGCTGCAGCAATTCTCAGGGCTCGGTCAAATTTCTGAGTTGACCCTTTCAGGCTCTGGGAGTGGCGGGTTAGGCGTACCTTTGGAAGTATGATTGGGATTGGGACTCGTTTCGGTGTCATCATGGCTCATTACCAGTTCGACAGAGTTTTGCAAAGCAATAGGAGCAAACTGCGAAATCTGTAGAGACGGTATCATCGAGAGAACAGAAATTGAGGCTGAGGCGGCTGAGGGTTCTGGTTTGGTCGGAACGGTATTGGCCTTCAACGCTCGACGCGCTCTTCTGTGAGCCAGCAAGCCATGCAGTCTCCGATGCTGCCGCCCCTGGCGGTAGACAAGCCTCTCCGAGGAAAAGACCCTACTGAGTTTAGTTACTGGTCAAATCACAAAAGGACATAAATCCCTAGACCACATATATGTTGAAGGTCTTTTGGCATTTGGGGTCACCCTACATCCTGAATTTGGGAAGGGGGTTGTGCCTGAAAGGTGTATGACATGCTTCCTTTGCATCTGTTGGCCGGTTGAGCCCTGAGCCCCAACCATCCTTAGGCCTGAAGCCCCTCATAACTCTTCCCGGAGATCCTACAATTACTGAACGAAGGGTCCCCAACTATGAAGGACTGCTCTTACAATTTCAGGAGTGCTCTTTCATCGCTGGAGGGTTGGGGTTTCTGTCAACAATGTCATTCCGAGGCCCAAAACTCCCAGTTGTCAGTCCTGGACGTCGTGCCCTTCAATTTCCTTTTTCGTAAGCGTCACGGCATGTCGGAACGTGCCTTAGCAGCCTGCCTTGCGGCATGCCCAGCAAGGCAAGAATCCTGTAGAATCCGATGAAACTCAACAGGAGCGCCTGCCCGACAAGAAGCCCAAACTCCCACTCCGACAACTCTACTTTGCCCAGGCATGGACAAAGTGTAGAGTCGAAGGTGGATTGCCTCCTGTCGCACGTCGAGGCAGGCTCTTCGGGTTAACTCTCTGCTCAAAGGTGCTCAGGGTGTAATGGTTCAGGGTTTTGTCAGTCTGGACATTGCTTGGTTCTCCCGAAATCTATCGAACTCGATGGCACAGAATGATCCGCAACGGCTTACTTGAGGGGCTTGAAGGCTCCAGCACGCAGCTCGTTTAGGAAAGCTGCTGTACGTCAGAGTGGCATGTATGTTGAGGCTTGGCTAAAACCACATTGCAAAACTACGAAAGCATCACCGGGCAATGAAACGACCGACAGGGCTGTAGTTGCAGCATTGCGTGAAACTACACATCCCTAGGCCTCAGGCCCTACACTGTGGACAAGCCCCCCAAACTCAACCCGAAACCTCCTGAAGCCCTAAAGCCTGAAACCTGAAGCCCCAAATCCTCCACCCCCGGCTCTCCTCCCAAACCTTGAACCCTTCAAAGCCCTCAAGCGCTGGAGCCCGTGTACACTCAAGACAGCTCGAAGTTAGATCCTCAGGGCACACGATGCCTGCAGCTCGAGATGCTCGGCATCTTGCAGAAAATCGCCTCCTGGCTGAGAGGACGATGAGATTGCTACGATTTAGGGTCTTGCAGTCTTGCAATGATTCAGGAACCACCTCACAAGAGTTCAAAGAGCAAGAACAGGCACGATTTCAGGCAGAAGCAAGACTACAGGCAGAACCACGATTCAGAAACTCAATTCAGACACCGGCAATTCTGCAATGGATCATTATTTGGCCAAGCAATGCACCTGCACAGAGTTGGGTCTACACGAACGGCCATGGCAAGGATCTGGCCAGTCCCGAAGCCCCGTTGCAAACAAGGGCAATTAAGATGCGACTATTTTGCATGGGGTTTGGAAATTTCTGATGGTCGAAAGCTAGATTGTGGCGGGATATATATATATATATATATAGATTGTGCCATGCACACACAGAATTTGCACAAATGCGCATGTGCGTGTCTGTTCGTGATATGTAGCTCCTGTCGCCCGAAGCCTCGCTTGGCTCCGCCCAGTGCGAGTGCCAACAAATATGTAGTTTAAGGTTTCGCAGACTTTGCATGATGCACCACTTACTCTGTGCCATGCATTGTATATCTGACGTGTTGTTGTATGTAGCCTTTCTGGAACATACGTCATGATGTTGGGTAAGGTTAGTTTAGATTGGACTTCCATTGGCTACTGTGCTCAGATCTTTGAACGAAACAGCATTGAGGCCTCGGATGTGGAAGCACAAAGTCGCGGCTCATCGAAGCACACACCACAGACGAACTCGACACCGCAGACGACGTCGGCACGCCGGGTCACAGAGATGCTTGGCTGTGACCTTGGTAGGGTTTAAGGGCCTGGACTATGGCGGTTCGCACTCTCCGTGGATTGAGGGCTTTAGTAGGGCCAGGGTTGATTGCACGTCAGACACTTCAGGTCCTGTACTATCTATGCCCATTATTATTGTACACCTGGGGCACAGTTATGGAAGACTTTCCAGACATGATTCGCTGCATCTTCTTCACATGAGCTTGTGTTTCAAACTCAACAAAGAATTCATTTAATTACAAGATACATGCCCTCCCTATCTTTACAAACAAATAATTAATTAATTGAGGCTAGTTCCGTCCATACGGTGCGACGAGTTTACGACTCGTTTTCATCATGATCATGCTCAGCACAAGCTGCTAGCTTGATCTCAGATGGGGTGTTGGCAGCCCTCCTTCGCAGAGAACCAACCATCAGCCGCAGACTCGGAGCAGCCCCCAAAAAAACGCCAAGCTCCAACCCGGAAGGCCCGAACCTCGAGAGCGCGGGTGAGAGGCAGAGAGGGAGGGAGGGAGGGAGAGAGAGGGAGAGAGACAGAGAGAGAACTCCGAGGAGCACCACATGGACTCCGGAGTCGGAAGAAACCCTAGTCTGACTCTTCAGGTGATGTTTTAACAAACAGCATAGTACAAAACGATCTCATATAAGATCGCATAGTCTAATTAGTCTTTCAAAACCCTGCGCTGGAGTCTTACAAACCAGCCGATGAAGACCTACAAACACCCCATTCACTCCACATGGCTCGATTGAACGACAGGAAATCCATGCGCTCGGACCAGAGAAACTCCTTCATCAGCAGTGAGATCACGAGCTCGAGGCTGCGGCTTCGAACGGCTCATGGAAGCAGGGGCGGGTCTGGGTTCGAACCTCATGGCTTTAGTTTAGTTTGAGGGTTTAACGCTTACGGTTCAATCGCTTAGATTATGGTTAGTGTACCGGGCTCAGGGTTTAATTTAAGCAGTGTTACAGTTGGATTCGTATCCACCTTGTCGGTCTTGTTCTTGTCCTGATTCCGTCCGCTTGTGCTCGCTCAACTGCGTCGCTCGTCTCGTTATCCCGCGCCCGGATAAGTGTCGCGTGGAATGGTAGCTTGCTGGCATTCATAGGTGGGAATGCCGGTGCAAGAGAGTTAGGCATGGATGCAGAGGCACAGAAAGAAACGGAGAAGGAAGGACCCTAAACCCCAGTCCTTATGACCCAACACCTCCAGGGCCTCGATGGCACCGAGCATCAAGAAGATGGAGGACATCCCGTTAGTGTTTCATAGTAAAGCTTAGGGCTTAGGGAAGTTCAGGTTTGGAGGTGGTCATCTGGTAGTGTTGGTTGTAATTGTAGTTTTCTGAAAGCAGCCTGTGGCATTTCCCATCCAAAGCAGGGCTTGCGGTGTTGTACATGCAGCGTCACCCTAAACCCAAAGCCTCGTCTGGCAGTGCCCGAGTTGCGAGAGCGTAAACCCGAAATATTGCCGTAACCTAAACTTTACACCCTGCCGTGCGAGGATGTCATATTCCGAGAGCTGGGAGGGCTTTTGGCTTCCTGGCGGCAGGAAGCTTGCTTCGGGTTTCATGGTCGAGGGTTTAGGCTTTAGGGGTTGAGGGTTCAGG